CCCCCCCCCCCCCGCGCTTGCACTCTCTCTCTCTCTCAAAAATAAACGAACATTAAAAAAAAACAAATAAAACACCTCATTTACTACTATGAAGTAACTCAGCTACGGGCGGTGGGTCTGGTGTTCCTGAGCGTGGCTCAAAACTGCTTCCATCTGGGCTCTAAATCGTGGACTCTGGGGGAAGATGTGTCACTGCCTTCCCATGCCCCGAGCTACCCAAGGAAGAAGCAAGGAACACTGAGAAAGGGAGCTTTGAACTCTTTCCATTTACCGGGTATACACCCGGGGATACACTCCCAACATATGGGGTCTGTAGATGGAGGCCTGGAGATTTCCACCTAAGCTGCGAATTTTGAAAAACTTCAGATCGACGGATAAGGTATACAAATAGTAGAAACACATCCCTATACCCTTCACCTACATTCACTGTTACTATCTTGCTACATATATCCCTCTCTGAACCATTTGAGAATTGGTGGCAAACTCTCTACCATACTCCTATATTTTAGAAAATTTTGTTAATGTTTATTTTTGAAGGAGAGAGACAGAGTGTAAGTGGAGGAGGGGCAGAGAGAGAGAGAGAGAGAGACAGACAGAATCCGAAGCAGGCTTCAGGCTCTGAGCTGTCGGCACAGAGCCTGACGCGGGGCTCGAACTCGTGACCCACGAGATCATGACCTGAGCCGAAGTCAGACGCTTAACTGACTGAGCCACCCAGGCGGCCCTGTTTTGTTTGTTTTTTAATTTTTCATATACCACAGTGCCTCTAACACGTAAACCCTCCAAAGTGAGTTGGTTTATTTTGTTACCCTCTTTCCTTCTGAACATTTATAAAAAGCCCATTTTAATAACCATTCCTCATTTTGATTTTTTTCTTTTACTTCCTACCTTGTAGGATACTTAACTCTATACACAGGGTTTTCAGAACGGTAGCGCTCATCGGGTTTCGGAATAAGGTTACTATTTCATCCTACCAGAAAGCCTGCCACCCAGGGAGCCCTACGGTAAACTCTTTGAATAGCAAGTACTCCTACTTATGGACAACTCGTTTGCGTGCATCACTAACAAAAATGGACCTTCCTGTAATGCCTGCTCTGTGGCATATACTGTTGTAAGTGCTTCGCTAATATTAACATAGTCTTTGGAGCAGTCCTTTGAGGGGAGGCCCTGTTACAGCCCCTTTCACAGATGAGAAAACTGAGGTTCAGAAAGCCTCCCCGGGTCTCACCGGGGAGTTAGCATGAAGACACAGCCAGTCCGGACCCGGGGTCCTCAGAGGGCCCTGGCGTGTCAACTTTCCTGAAGTGAAGCCCTCCTTGCTTTCTGAATTCTGGCACTATCACTGCAGTTTGTCATTTGTCACGAAACTTTCTGTTGTCAGTTCTTCCTGAATTAAAAAAGATCTGTAGGCTTTTCTATTTCTGTGGGCGGGTTATACTGTCAGTGGGGAGTCCCTCTGGCCTTAGTAGCTCAACTGCTGACTTCAAACAATTTTTGTTGCGATTTAGGGATTCCATCATTTCAGTAGTAGTTTGTTGTTGGGTCACGTGATCGCGCAGCAAACGCGCATACGACCACCAGATGCGGAGTTGGCCTTGCGGTGTCAGAACCCACTCCCATGCCCTTCTCTTCTCCCTGGAGGGAGCCTCTAGCCGGCTTTCCTCGTCCCCCTCCCCTCGCCTCTCCTCACTGTTTTCCGAACTGAATACCTGCGTTCCTGAGCAACCTTGTCCCGTTTTGCCTGTTTGTAAACTTTATTTAAACATGGAACCGGGGGCGCCTGGGTGGCTCAGTCGGTTAGGCGTCCGACTTCGGCTCAGGTCACGATCTCGAGGTCCATGAGTTCGAGCCCCGCGTCAGGCTCTGGGCTGATGGCTCAGAGCCTGGAGCCTGTTTCCGATTCTGTGTCTCCGTCTCTCTGGCCCTCCCCCGTTCATGCTCTGTCTCTCTCTGTCTCAAAAATAAATAAACGTTAAAAAAAATAAAAAAAAAAAAACATGGAACCGTGCGACATATTCTTTGTGGCTTGCTGCTTTTTCTACGTGAAGTCTGTGAGGTTCACCCAAGGTGTTGGCAACCTCGGTTCATTTGTTCACAGAGTCTTCCCTTTATCCATTCTTGTTCATTGACTGGCCGTCCGTTTCGCCACTGATGATCCAGGTGGGGGGAATCGGGGACCTGTTAGGATCAGTCCGCCTATCGCCATGGGTACCTGTTGCACACGTGCAGTGGTTTATCCAGGGCACACGCTCAGGAGCGGAATTGCTGGGTCGTGCGCCACACAGGTGCACACCTTTACGGGTCGTGCCCAGACTGGTTTCCAAACCGTCTGCCTCACTTCTCACGCCTGCGGGCGGCGGGCGGGCACTCCTTACCAGCCGCTCCCATTCCTGCCAGCGTGGGGCCCGTGCCGCATACTTGTCATGGTTTGTGTCGGCACCTTCCCGGCAGCACTTGACGTGGAGCGCGTTCTTTTGGGTTTCCTCTCTTTCGGCGCATCGGTGTTAAGTATGTTGCTTATGTTTATATCTGATTTTCCTCTGATTGTTTTTAACATCCTTCCAGCCACAGGCGTACCGTGTGCACGTGAGCATCGTCGGCGCTGGGAAAATCAGGCACTCCCAACCAGGCCCACGGTGGAAGGACCGCCCCGTCTGCCTGCTTGGCCCGATTTTGCTGCCGGGGGGAAGCACAGCGAGGCGAGGGGGTGGGGGGGCTGAGTCCGGCAGCGTGCTGGCACTGATGAAATCTGGTTGTATCACAGCATTTGTCTGCTCTTCTCCTCAGCGGTTCACACCATTCAGGAAGCCCTTCTGCTCACTGTTCCAAAAATAGCGGGTCTCTGGATACGTCCAAAGTCTACATCGTGTCCCACAGCAGCGCCCAACAGGTCCCCGGGTCCGCGTCCAAGCCCTACCACAGGCAAGGGGCAGTGAGCAAGTATGTCATCGGCTGGAAGAAATCGGAGGGCAGCCCGCCCCCCGAGGAACCCGAAGTGACCGAGTGTCAGGGGTAAGGTGGCCAGTGGCTCTTCTCTACCCAACCTTACACACCTTTTGGGGACAGACTAAGCGGATGCATTTTTCCCCTCGACAGAAATATATTTTCTAAGAAGGAATAACCTAGAAACATCCTTGTACATCTTCTTAAATGTTGGCATTTATGTTTCTCTTTCAAAGTCTTCTCTTTCCTTGAGTTTCATGTTTAAAAAGTGAGAGAAATCCCTGTTCTGTATTCTTCTGTCCAGAAAACTGCCTGCAATAGAAAAGTCACGGTCATGGGCTGTTGACGGTGTGAGGATAGAGTCTGTAAATAAACAAGTTCAAGGGTGATTTGAATCCCCCCCACTGTCCCTGAGTGTTTCTTAAACTTGTTGTGTGACGCCATCAAAGAGAAAGTATTCTACCCAATTTTAACATGACTTTGATTTCCCTTCCAGTTGTTTGGTTTTGTGGGGTCAGATAGGGAGGGACGTGAGGTGCCTCTTGAAAAAGAGAAAAAAGATGCCGATAATCCGTTTTATTTTTTTTTTTTAATTTTTTTTTCAACGTTTATTTATTTTTGGGACAGAGAGAGACAGAGCATGAACGGGGGAGGGGCAGAGAGAGAGGGAGACACAGAATCGGAAACAGGCTCCAGGCTCTGAGCCATCAGCCCAGAGCCTGACGCGGGGCTCGAACTCACGGACCGCGAGATCATGACCTGGCTGAAGTCGGACGCTTAACCGACTGCGCCACCCAGGCGCCCCCGATAATCCGTTTCATAACACCTGTGGAAGCTCTGTTGTCTCTCTGAAGAGACAAGTTAAAGAAATCACATGTCAAGAACGCAAAACAAGGATGGTCAGAGCTATTTTCGTTGTTTGCTTATTTTTTATTTTATTTTAAAAAATTTTTTTGAATGTTTTTTTATTTATTTTTGAGAGAGAGAAAGAGAGACAGAGCATGAGTGGGAGAGGGGCAGAGAGAGAGGGAGACACAGAATCCGAAGCAGGCTCCTGGCTCCGAGCTGTCCGCTCAGAGCCTGACGCGGGGCTCGAACCCACACCTGCAAGATCATGACCTGAGCCGAAGTCAGACGCTGAACCAACTGAGCCGCCCAGGCACGCCCGTTTCCTTATTTTTAAAAGGACAGCCATGGCGAGCCTGGGCGGCTTAGTCAGTTGAGAATCCGACTCTGGATTTCAGCTCGGGTCATGATCTCACAGTTTGGGAGATCGAACCCCACATCAGGCTCTAGGTTGACCGCACGGAGCCTGCTTGGGAGTCTCTCTCCCTCGCTCTCTGCCCCTCCCCCACTCATCTCACTCGAATGCCCTCTCTCTCACTCTCTCTCTCTCTCTCTCTCAAAATAAATAAGCATTTTTTAAAAATAAAAAAATAAAAGGACAGGCTTAAGAAAAAAGAAACTCCCATGCACTAAACTGTGAGGCCATTGTGTCTGCAGCATCGTCACGTGTGGAGGGTGCACCGGGGGGCTGCCCTGATTTTCACAGAGCTCTTTTATGTCTTCAGCTTGGTTGATGAACTGACACCCCTTTTTTTCCCAGAAAAAATGATCCTGCTTTTTAAATATGGAGAGCCTGCTGCTGCTCTCTAAACTAAAAGTCATTTTAGGGCTGAAATTGAACATAGAGTCTTTTTGTTAAAAAAAAAAAACACACACACACAAAAACCCATCATGTCAATAATTGCAAATGAGGTATTTAGAAAGGAATTCAATAGTGATAGCCACACTTTGTGACCACAAATGCAGATTTCTCTTTCCTTTTTCTTTTTTTTTTAAGTAGGCTCCGTACCTGGCGTGGGGTTTGAACTCATGACCCTAAGATCAAGAGTCACCTGCTTTACGGACTGAGCCAGCCAGGCGCCCCCATAAATGCAGATTTCTAACGATAACGTTGGTACTTCTGCCTATTAATACGTCTCCTGAGCGCCTCACACAAATTCATCCGGAGCCTTCTGAGTTCTGTGTGAAAGCACTGTTTGAGGGCTCTCTGCAAGAGTCAGGGAGGGATGACAGGTGCCCATTTGGACATTTTGCTCTCCCGAGCCCCCACAGAGTTTGTGCATTTGAACACACAGGTTTGAAGGCACGGCCTCTCAGTAAAAGAAGGGCAGAGTCAGGAGCATCGTGAGGAGGAGGTCTGGGCATGTGGGCGACAAAGCTTTACTTCCCCGCATCACACAAGGCTAGTGCTGGGATTTGAACCCGGGCCTCAGGCCGGATCTCTGCGTGCTGTGCCGTGCCCGTCCTGTGGGAGGGCACAGGCACCCCAGGGGCGGCAGGCACCCCAGGACTTGTCCAGCTAAGTCAAGTGCTCCTAAAACAAGGGAACACACTGTAATGTGGAAGCGATGAATCTAGAACACCTGCAGACAGCAGAAACAGCGTCCCACCTTATCACCGAAAGATGCTTTGAAACGGATGGGCCAAGTCCGATGCGTTTGTGCCACAAAGGATTAGAGAATGTCAATGTCCCGTTGTACACAAAAGATAAAACTCTGAAGTTTCCAGTCATCTCTTTAACATCACATTGTGGAACCCTCCTTGACCCAACCTGACCTACCTCAGCAACAAAGCAAAAGCCAGAGAGACTTCCAGATAATCACTGTTAATTTTGAGCATGTCCACGTTGAGTTCCTTACTCTGGTAATTTCCCAGTGAGCTGTCGGACTGTGACAAGATGGCCTTGCCTCTCAAATAGAGTCATCTCAGTGACACATGACAATAACATAACAGGTCTGTCGCCCTGTGGCCCTGGGCCATGGATTCCTAGAACGTTGCATTTCAGGTCATGTGGCAAGGACCGTTCACTGCTGACAGTACAGCCACTGATGATTCACTGTGTCCTCCAGAATGTTCGCTTCCTCGGATTGAATTTCCAGAGTAAACTTTTAAAAATCGAGTCCCTGGTTTTCTCCCTGGAAAAGAGCTGAAAACAGTAATTCCGCTAGACAGTCTTTTGTTGTTCGTAAATACATTTTTATATCCTGATAATTAAGGGAGACAGCTGCTTTATTTATCCAAACGGCTTTGCGGAATTGCCAATAATAAAACGTGCTTGGCACACGCCTGAATCGATTACTCTTAAATTTCAGGCTCCCTCGGGTGCCTCTCTCTGTGTCGCCCGGGTGAGATGGGGCAGTGCGGTTTTCCACCTGCAAGAGGAGGGTTCTCTCGAGTCTTCTGAGAAACGCAAGGAGGTGTTCCTGCAAAGGACATATGATAATCTCTGATGAATTATTGAAAATGTGTTTTCTGACAGATTGGGAAAAGAAAAAGCACGGCCTTAAAAAAAAAAAAACAGGCTGTATTTTTTTCCCCCATCCAGGGCTTCAGGGATCTGACTTGATTCTGAATTATTCAGAAATCTACCTTTAGAGTTGAGCTCATTTCACACGTGTAAAATGACACGGGGGTCTGGAGCAAACGCGGCAGTGACCTGACTCCATAATTAAGAATCGCGCGTATGAGTAGGTGGTGGTGGAATCGGCGGATTTTAATCCTTCGGGCTACACGCGTTTTACAAATGGGCTGACCCCTCCCTCCTCTTAACTTCCCTCTGCTTTGTTTCTGTGCAACAGGCTGTATGGTGAGATGGAGATCTTGTCCACGGCAACCCAGCACCAGACCGTGGTGGGGGATGCTGTTGCAGAAACTCAACATGTTCTGTCCAAAGAAGATTTTCTGAAACTGATGCTTCCTGACAGTCCGTTAGTGGAGGAGGGGAGAAGAAAGGTTAGCGACTTTCATGAGGCTTTGCAGTTACCAGAAATACCGAAGAAAAGTCTAAAGAGGCTCGGAAGTTTCCATAGTCCCGCCTCGTGCGTTCTCTGTCATGACTCTACCTGGTACTCTGTGCACGGCTGACCGTTTTCAGGGGGTTTTTCTATCAGCAGGGCAAGCCCGGGGGAGGTGAGGAAGGGCAATTTTCTAGCATGGATGGAGAGGACAAGGGGCAGGCAGGCCTGGCCGAAAATCCCAGCTCCGGTGACAAGCAGCCGTGTGACTCTGTGCAAGTGACTTGACCTCCCGGCCCAGGGTCGTCCTCCGAAAAAAGGAGACCATGAAACGTGTACCAGAGAGAAGAAATAACACAGGCGCAGCCTCTTAGCACCGGTACATTCTGGGTGATCAGAGGCAGTAGCTATGAAATCCATACTACCTGACATGTTACAGAAATCTGTCCTCTGCTCCAAGCCGGGCACTGTAAATATGACGGAGCATGCAGCATGCCGTCAGTCCCAAGGGAAGGCCATGTGTCAGTCTTCTAAGCCAACCTCACATTCGGTGGCACACCTTCATTCGTCACGTAGTAGACCCCCGCTAACGTTAGATCACTTCTTGTTAACAAGTTGTAGCTTTGCTGTTATTACAGTCTCTTAAACCACTTGGTTACGTAACAGAAAGGATTCGAAAGAACCTGCCGGTCATTTAGCTCAGTCTCCTCTTTTTGCAAGTTCCTGGGTCCCTACGTGGTGAAGTGAGAAGTTCATATAAATGTAGGGTGTCAGAGTCAGGAATGGAAGTCAGATCTTCTCCCTTATCCAGTGCTCTCTCTCGTCCAAATGAAAAGAAAAACATACATATATATACATATGAGGCATTGCCATGTTGACTGGGATCAGGGTAAACACCAAGTCTGTGTGCTCCTGTCTTCTCTATAATAAAACAATACTGCAATTAACCTAATTGTGTTCTTAGAATAACACTCTAATTAGATACTACCTGAAAGCTGCTTTAATCTAATGCGCCTGTAATCATGTTCTGAAGAACCTGCTGGTGTGTGTGAAGAGGGAATCCCAGAAGAACTCGATCATAATGAGCCTCTTTTTTTTTTTTTCTAAACTTGTATCAAATCATATATACAGTACTGTATAAGCTTGGGTGCAGACTTGTAAAAAGGGGCAGATAGCTGTTCTTCTCATAGAAATGAACTTCTCTCCTTGACGTGGGGTTCCCCCCCCCCAAGACGAATCACCTTCCTTTCATGGTGTAAATTTAACTTTGTAGTCAACACACATTCCAGTTGGACAGAGCAGACAGAATGGAAGGAACGCATACAATAGAAATATGTTTAGCTTTCTCGCTGCACTCACAAATGTAAATAGCCATTTCTGTGTTTGTTTGATGCAAACATTCTGGCTTTTACTATTGTTTATATAAAAAGGAATGTGGTTCGGTATGCAGAAGACGAAGTTGGAAAGTCAGATCTGATTTAATTTTTTTGAGTATTTTGACTGCTGCTTCTTGAGTAAGAATTCTCCCTACCCTGTCTGCGAGTTAACACAATAATTTCAGTGGTTCCCTTAAATCCGGTAATTTTATCGATTACTATAACTCCATTTTCAACAATTATAATAGACTCCTGTGGGGGATCACTTTGAAGTAGACAAGATTTTACTGGACTGATAACCATTGCCTCTTGAACCTGCTTGTGTGGCCTAGAGAGCCTCAGTGTTCAAATTTTTTTTTTTTTTGATGAGATTGAACCTCACATTGCAGTGGATTGATACAGAAATTGCCTGATATTAAAACGTAGTCATTTCAAATTAAAATCAAGCCCACGCTATGTGTGCTTTTGCATAACTGTGCCCGAAATGGCAACCTTCCATATTTCCAGGACCTGGCGGTGTTATAAGGTTATGGAGGTTCCATTTAACATTTCAGAATTAATAAAGCTGCCCTTGTCTAATTCATGATAGTAGTTCACAGAATGTCAAAGGAGGAAAACATTCAAATCCAGTAACAGCACCAGAGCCCTGGTGTGTTTGCCTAGATGACCCACGTGCCTGGTTTAGCATTCCTGAGCTAATGGTTGATGCCTGCCTGCCTAGGGAGAACTCAGAGATGCTATCACGGTGGTACTTGTATTGCTGGATTTAGTCAGAGAAATTCCATGCTCTCAACTCTTTTGTGTCTGTCTTCCCCCTTCTCCCCCCCACCCTAGTTTTCGTTCTATGGGAACCTGTCTCCAAGACGCTCGCTCTACCGCACCCTCTCTGATGAGAGCATCTGCAGCAATCGGAGGGGGTCTTCCTTTGGCAGTTCGCGAAGTTCAATACTTGACCAAGCCCTGCCCAACGACATTCTGTTCAGCACCACCCCACCCTACCACAGCACGCTGCCCCCCCGCACCCACCCCGCGCCCAGCTTGGGGAGCCTGAGAAGTAAGTGTGGGAGGGCTGAACTTCCGTACGCGGGGGCCCTTCGGGTTGTGCCCCGTAGAGATTTGGGAGGGGTTAGGTTTCTTTTTTAAAATACATATTATTTGGTGCGTCTGCTTTGCTTTCCTTTTTTTTTTTTTTTTAATTTTTCAATATGATACAAGCATCAGAGTGGATACTTTTTAGAAGTTAAGCAGTGCCGCGAGTGTTGAAGAATATTGAAAAGCCCATATTCAACATTTTTTATCGAGTCATGACTGTATAAATAAAAGATGTATGTGTGCGCATAAGAAAAAAATACCTAAGACCTGATTTTATAAAGGCAAAAGTGGCACGGGAGGTAGACTTTCCATTGGGCAGCAAGCAAGGAGGAAGGTTTGGTTTCCCTCCGTCCCTGACATTGAGCACCAGGGGATGGGCAAGGTGGTAGATGGGCTCGGGAGCCGTGGGTCTTCAACCTGACTTTCCCTGTGGGTGGTGGAATGACCCTGTGTTCATCATTCATGCGCTCTGTGTCCGGTTTACTCCAGTTTAGGGGTCACAGACTGACTGGGTAATTTCTACACGATTTTCCTTCAGATCTTAAAATCTTTGACTTTTACGTGGTGTCAGCGTTTAAGGGTGCTAATTTTTTTTTACTCTGGCTTTGTTTCCTTTTTCAGAATTTAATTTCTAGTGTACGGGATGATTAAGGATTTAATCAGAACTACATTCATTATCCGTTTTTTTTTTTATTTCATAAAAAGCATTATCTTTAGAACCAATTTGAACTTCATAATACGTGTGGAAATCTCAGGCTAAATGAAATAAAAGTTCTAATAGTGCTTCTTCTAATGTTGAACATAATTGGAAATGAACCTTGTCTCATAAAATCCTTAATCTATTTCTTTAAGTAACATAATATCCTGCCTGCTATAATGAGTCAATTTGCCTAAATTGAAGAAACCTTTAAACTCCTTCTTGATAACCCCATGAAAGGTCAGACATATTCTAATAACCTAATATTTCTCTAAATGTTTTTCCTTTTTGGTAAATAGGTAAATTTAACGTCCTCTTGAAAGCGTGCGTAAAATCAGTAAGACTGTTTTCTCGCAGATGTTATTTCTTTCATTTCTAATGCTTGATGTGTGGTCATGAAATCTGTGGCCTGTGCATCGATGTAATTCTTTTTTTTTTTTTTTTTTTTTTTTTTTTTTTTTTTTATTTTTGGGATAGAGAGAGACAGAGCATGAACGGGGGAGGGGCAGAGAGAGAGGGAGACACAGAATCGGAAACAGGCTCCAGGCTCCGAGCCATCAGCCCAGAGCCTGACGCGGGGCTCGAACTCACGGACCGCGAGATCGTGACCTGGCTGAAGTCGGACGCTTAACCGACTGCGCCACCCAGGCGCCCCTCGATGTAATTCTTATATTCACCCTTCACTGCTTCCATTATGAAAGATACATCTTTTTTTTTTTTTTACTTTACTTTTTTTTTAATGAAAAAAGAAATTTTTTTTTTTTTTTAAGAGCAGTTCTAGGTTCGCAGCAAAATTTAGCAGAAGGCACAGGGAGTTCCCGGATACCCCTGCCCCCACACATGCACAGCCTCCCTCGCGATCAGCGTCTCTCACCCAGGGTACATTTGCTACAATCCGTGAACCTGCACTGACACACCGTCATGAACCGGAGTCCATTGTTGGCTTACATTAGGATTCAGTCTCGATGCCATACACGCTGTGGGTCTGGACAGTGTCAAATGACATGTATCCACCACAGCAGTATGGCAACCACTGATCTTTTCACTGTCTCCCTTGTTTTGTCTTTTCCAAAATGTCATATACTTAGAATCATACAGTATGTAGCTTTTTCAGGAGAACTCCGTGTCTTTTCACGGCTTGACAGTTTCTTTCTCTTCAGCACTAGATAATATTCCATTGTCTGGACGTACCACAGCTTGTCTATCTGTCCACCTACTGAAGAAATGCATCCTTTTTTAGTATTTGCACAGTATAAAGGCGCAAGCAGGAAACAGGCAGGGTACATTACCTGTTCACGATTCAAGTGCAAAAACGCCTTACCTGTCTTCACTGGTCGTTTCTCTGGGAAGAGCAGTGAGCGTGGTCCTTGCCGCTGGCTCTTCTCTGTTGAAACCTGATTTGGCAACGCGACTTCAGTTTCCTGTAGAAACTACTCAGAAAAGGTTCTGTCGGTTCCATGAGTGAAATGACACGATGTGGATAAGGGAGCTGGAAGTAATTGGTGCTAACGTGTCTGACGCCCGCACTGAACCTGTGTGGTCGTTCCTTTTGAATCCACAGATTTTTGTCATTCTTCACTTTCTGTGGTTTCTGGTCGCTCGGCAGAACCTCTGTAAGAAGAGCCCACTCTCTGAGAGTAGTTCAGAACCGGAACAACGGATGTCTGAAGAGAGAAATGAGGACGAATTGAGGTTGTCCAGTTGTTTTCTCTTAGTCCCAGAGACTTAGCTTCATGTGAAAGCTTGGAGGGGAAGTTCGTTCCGTCGAGCTTCTAGAAGCCACGTAGAAAGACGTAGGCAGACGCTCAGAAGGCGTGCATGTGCTTCGGGTAAGCTTTAAAACTGGAGCATTCCCACCACGGGATCCTCACAGAGAGAATCTGTCACTAATAGAGACTGGTCAGCAAGTTCGTCTCTTTACAGCGAATGTTGCTGGAGCTTTTCCACGGGTAATTATTATTATAGTCACAGGCTTCTCGTTCGGATATTTTTAGCTAGTACCTGTCCCACATCTGAACCTGTTTCAGACTCTTTCTTCTCTGGAGATCAAGATCTTGATTCAACCTTGTGAGACCAGTCCCTCACAAACACATTTTGGATGTGATTCATGTCGCGATTCATGTAGATTTCCTGTGAAGTCCCTGAAATGTGCTGTATCATTAGGTCTTCAACTTGGAGGCGTAAAAATACGGCCTGATGAAGCAAGTGAAACTGTTTCTGAAATGCTTCTGCGTTGCATTTAGGGTCTTTGTTTTCATTATTATTGGATTCCAGAACAAAATTTCTTTTGTGGCCCACATAGAAAAAAATGGGGAATGGCCATTTGGATGCATGATTCACAGGCCAGATAACCAATGATATTGATAAATGTGCCCAGTATCTGTTTCCTCCTTGACCAGTTGGGTACCTGGCTTTATTCAGTGAAGGGCTGCTTCCGTACCTTGGCTGTTGTAAATAATGCTGCTGTAAACATCGGAGTGCATGTATCCCTTCGAATTAGTGTTTTTGTATTCTTCAGGTAAATACTGGATCATATGGAGATTTTATTTTTAATTTTTTGAGGCACTTCCACACTGTTTCCCACCGTGGCTTCACCAGTTTGCATTCCCACCGGCAGTGCAGGAGGGTTCCTTTTTCTCCACATCCTCGCCAGCATTTGGTATTTCTTTTTGATACTAGCCATTCTGACAGGTGTGAGACGATATCTCATTGTGGTTTTGATTTGCATTTCCCTGATGATCAGTGATGTTGAGCATCTTTTCACGTATCCTTTGGCCATCTCTATGTCTTCTTTGGAGAAATGTCTGTTCATGTCTTGTGCCCAGTTTTTAATTGGATTATTTGGGT